CTACCACATTCTAGTCCAGGTGACAGAGCGATATGAAAATGACAGAATGTGTGGCGATTGGAAATATTTCTTTAAAATTTAACACTCCTAAAGTTGTTCCTGGATGTAAGAAACTTTTGAATCATGTAAATTTGTTAATTTGTTGAATCTGTGCTCCTCGTATTTTTCCTAGGAGACTCTATGAAATGGACATTACGCATTTAGATTTAGGTGTGTTGCTTAATACATATATATATGTTCAGTTCAGCACTGCACAGGAGACTTCCTTCTGAAAATGTTTGTTTTCCATACTGCAAATAAAGTGCATCCATTTAGAAAACGTTTTTAAAATACTTCTTTTATATTTATGGAGATAGTATTTTTTCCGCATTTCCTTTGTTAGTCGTATGATTTAAAGCAGCTTTTTCTAAAGTACATAAATATATCTGTTTAATGTATTGCGTTGAGGAAACATTTATTATTCTGCTAAGTATTTCATATTCATTCATTGAACAAATATACATTGAGTACCAATTATGTGCCAGACACGCCCCCAGGTGCATGGACCTTTGAATGTGAAAAGCTAAACCTGCTAATGGTTAACACTGTGTTTTCGTAAAAAAGAAAAAAAGGAATTGTGAAAAATGCACATGAAGATAAATCATAAATGAAGTTTCAGTTATTTAAAGTAGTCGAAATGTGTTTAAACTGGATTCTCATTTGTTCTAAAGGTTGAAGACCTTTTTGATTTTTTTTAGTTGTTTAATAAAGGTTTATTAAGGATTTACCAAATCCATGCACAGTGCTAGACCTTGAAGATGCCAGCCCTGTATAATTTTGAGTTTGGTACAGAAGTCTTACCATTCACAACAAATCGGCCAATCCTTGTCTTCACCCATTACCACCATTCCAATCAGCCAATATCCCTGAGGTCTTCCCAAGAACTGACTTTGGCTGCATTAGCAGACACAAGCTTCAGTGTGATTCTGATGGTGAACATTTTTTGTAGTACTTGGGGATGAGATTAACCTCCTACGTAACCTCATTAAGCTCTTATTCTTCCCTGTTCTCAGATTCACAGAGCAGAGAAGTCCTTAATGGGGTCATCTTGGACCAGCTGTAACAATTTCCCAATGTTTGCTGGTCTCTTCCCTGGATTTTCACCAGTTTAGGAAGTTAACTTGGAGAATCAGAGCCACACTACTGAATAGACATTAGAGAAAATATTGGTACTCTTGACATTGAGACCTTTTCCTTCCATCTTTCCTATATCCCAACCACCCCTGACCACTGGGACTTAATCCTTTTTTTTAATTGCATTTTAGGTTTTGGGGTACATGTGAAGAACATGCAAGATAGTTGCATAGGTACACATGTGGCTGTGTGATTTGCTGCCTTCCTCCCCTTCACCCATATCTGGCATTTTTCCCCATGCTATCTCTCCCCAATTCCCCCCCCGCACTGTCCCTCACCTATTCCACCCAACAGACCCCAGTGTGTAGTGCTCCCCTCCCTGTGTCCATGTATTCTCATTGTTCATCACCCGCCTATGAGTGAGAATATGCAGTATTTCATTTTCTGTTCTTGTGTCAGTTTGCTGAGAATGATGTTCTCCAGGTTCATCCATGTCCCTACAAAGGACACGAACTCATCGTTTTTGATGGCTGCATAATATTCCATGGTGTATATGTGCCACATTTTCCCAATCCAGTCTATCTTCGATGGGCATTTGGGTTGGTTCCAGGTCTTTGCTATTGTAAACAGTGCTGCAATGAACATTCGTGTGCATGTGTCCTTATAGTAGAACGATTTATAGTCCTTTGGATATATACCCAGTAATGGGATTGCTGGGTCAAATGGAATTTCTATTTCTAGGTCCTTGAGGAATCGCCACACTGTCTTCCACAATGGTTGAACTAATTTACACTCCCACCAACAGTGTAAAAGTGTTCCTATTTCTCCACATCCTCTCCAGCATCTGCTGTCTCCAGATTTTTTAATGATCGCCATTCTAACTGGCGTGAGGTGGTATCTCAATGTAGTTTTGATTTGCATTTCTCTGATGACCAGTGATGATGAGCATTTTTTCATATGTTTATTGGCCTCATGTATGTCTTCTTTTGTAAAGTGTCTGTTCATACCCTTTGCCCATTTTTGAATGGGCTTGTTTGTTCTTTTCTTGTAAATCTGTTTGAGTTCTTTGTAAATTCTGGATATCAGCCCTTTGTCAGATGGGTAAACTGCAAAAATTTTTTCCCATTCTGTTGGTTGCCGATTCACTCTAGTGACTGTTTCTTTTGCCGTGCAGAAGCTGTGGAGTTTGATTAGGTCCCATTTGTCTATTTTGGCTTTTGTTGCCAATGCTTTTGGTGTTTTGGTCATGAGGTCCTCGCCTACTCCTATGTCCTGAATGGTTTTGCCTAGATTTTCTTCTAGGGTTTTTATGGTGCTAGGTCTTATGTTTAAGTCTTTAATCCATCTGGAGTTAATTTTAGTGTAAGGTGTCAGAAAGGGGTCCAGTTTCTGCTTTCTGCACATGGCTAGCCAGTTTTCCCAACACCAATTATTAAACAGGGAATCCTTTCCCCATTGCTTGTTTTTGTCAGGTTTATCCAAGATTGTATGGTTGCAGATATGTTGTGTTGCCTCCAATGCTTCTGTTCTGTTCCATTGGTCTATATCTCTGTTCTGATACCAGTACCATGCTGTTTTGATTACTGTAGCCTTGTAGTATAGTTTGAAGTCCGGTAGTGTGATGCCTCCCGCTGTGTTCTTTTTACTTAGAATTGACTTGGCTATGCGGGCTCTCTTTTGGTTCCATATGAAGTTTAAGGTGGTTTTTTCCAGTTCTGTGAAGAAGGTCATTGGTAGCTTGATGGGGATAGCATTGAATCTGTAAATTACTTTGGGCAGTATGGCCATTTTTACAATATTGATTCTTCCTAACCATGAACATGGAATGTTTCTCCATCTGTTTGTATCCTCTTATTTCGTTGAGCAGTTCCTTCTGAAACTATTCCAAATAATCCAAAAAGAGGGAATTCTTCCCAAATCATTTTATGAGACCAACATCATCCTAATACCAAAACCTGGCGGGGACTCAACAAGAAAAGAAAACTTCAGGCCAACATCCATGATGAACATAGATGCAAAAATCTTCAATAAAATACTGGCAAGCCGATTGCAACAGCACATCAAAAAGCTTATCCATCATGACCAAGTAGGATTCATCCCAGGGATGCAAGGCTGGTTCAATATACACAAGTCTATAAACATAATTCACCACATAAACAGAACCAAAAACAAAAACCATATGATGATCTCAATTGACGCAGAGAAGGCCTTTGACAAAATTCAATAGACCTTTATGCTGAAAACCCCCAATAAACTAGGTATTTATGGAACGTATCTCAAAATAATAAAAGCTATTTACAACAGACCAACAGCCAATATCATACTGAATGGGGAGAAACTGGAAGCATTCCCTTTGAAATCTGGCACTAGACAAGGATGCCCTCTCTCACCACTCCTATTCAATATAGTACTGGAAGTTCTAGCCAGAGCAATCAGGCAAGAAAAAGAAATAAAGGGTATTTGAATAGGAAAGGAGGAAGCCAAACTGTCTCTATTTGCAGACGACATGATAGTATACCTAGAATACCCCATCATCTCAGCCCAGAAACTCCTGAAACTGATAAGCAACTTCAGCAGTCTCAGGATACAAAATCAATGTGCAAAAATCACAAGCATTCCTATACACCAATAACAGACTTAAAGAGAGCCAAATCAAGAACGAACTGCCATTCACAAATGCTACAAAGAGAATAAAATACCTGGGAATACAACTAACAAGGAACGTAAAGGACCTCTTAAGGGAGAACTACAAACCACTGCTCAACGAATGCTCTTTTTAATGAAATGTCCCATTACAGAAATTCTTCCCCTCACCTCGGTTTCTACCCCAGAACAAATTATTCTCTCACAGTCTCAGAAATACCATTTCTTTTTTTCTGTTGACAGACCATTTTTATTTGGCATTAAAATGTAATTTTTAAGAAGCTATGCTAATTATCTTTAATGTAAGAATTATTTGAAAATACAACATCCATTTTAGGTGTGACATCTGCAAGCTCTTCTCTTTTAAAATGAAGGCTTAAATATTTCCATTGGATTAAATGTTCACTTAGAAAAATGTTAAATGGTTTGGTTTAAATCCTAATTAAAATAATAAGTATGATTATAAAATTTATGTAACATAATTATGATTTTTGTTGAGTAATTTAGAAAAATTAGTTTCATAACTGATTGTCTCCTTAATAGCCCACTGGGCTTAATTTAAGAGTTAATAGATAACAGCATTAATTGAAATTAATTTAAGAAACACTTATTAAAAGGTAACAGTTCTGTTTCTACTCAGTAGGAATTTATTCATATCCCTTCATCAGCCATATCCTTTTTTTCCATTTAAATGGTAATTTATTTTTCATCTAAGTGATTAATGAGAACGTAAGGACAGCAAGGAGCTTTCTGAGATGCATATATTTTTGCTTGATTTTGGTTCTGACTACGTGACGTACTCAGCTTTGAGTTTCACCAGTCCCCAGGTGGTCGTAGAGCCCCAGCAATGTACCAGGGACTGTGAAAGGGGCTAAGTGAGATGGTTAGGATCAACTTGCTCTTACACGGCCTGCTTTAAAAAAGATGCTTAATATAAGTACATAGAGGACCACAAAGAAGGTGAAGTATCATAAGAGGCCTGAAAAAGACTCAAGAAAAGTACTGCCTGGTTTTGGAGGAAAGAGGTAAAACATTTTTGTATAAAATCAGTTTTCTAATAACTTCTGCCATAGTTGTTTATACTTCAAATTTTTTTTTAATTAAAAAAATAAGGTAAAGGCCTTGGTAACGTGTAGTGAGCAGACATTACCAACACGCTCTGCTTCCTCTTTAGTGTTCTGCTTTCTTCCATACCAGTGATTTTGCTCTTTTTGTCTAATCCCTGCTTTTTTTTTACCTTACAGTGTGACGGGCAGTATATTCCTCTTCCCAGCCTGCAAGGCATAGCCGTGTTGAACATCCCCAGCTATGCCGGAGGGACGAACTTTTGGGGTGGAACTAAAGAGGATGATGTAAGTCATGGGAGTAAATCGTTTGTTTCCTCAAAAGTAATTACATCACTGTAATAATTTGCTTTTGCAAATATGCTTATGAATTGTAATTTAATGTCATGTTAAATATTTTACATTGGGAAAGTGAGGCGTGGAATAGATTCATTTAAGATTTGATTTGGACTGTCTCTTGTGGACATACTCTTAACTTTTCTCATGTTGAAGATACAGCTATCCATATCTTGGGATGTATGTTGCGGTTTTCTGGATGGATATTAAAGAACCTGCTTTTGGAAAGTAGATTTATGAAATGAGGAAGGGGAGATTTTACTTTTTAACTTTATGTCTGCATGTGGTTTCCATTGCTGCCATCACAAGTTAAGACACATCTAGCCACCTCACACACATTATCATCTTACAGTTGTATGTGATGGGAGACTGGCACAGTCTCACGGGGCTAAAATGGAGGTGGTTTCCTGCTGGAGGCTCTAGGGGAGACTGTTTCCCTGCCCTGGGAGTGTCTAGAGGCTACCCACATTCCCCTCCATCTCCAAAGCCGGCAAAGGCAGGTTGAATCCTTCTCATATGGCATCTCTCTGATCTCTGCTGCTCCCTCTTCTACTTTTAATGACCACTGTGATTACACTGGGCCCACCTAGACCACCCAAGACCATCCCCATCTCAAAGCCTTAATTTAATCACATCTACAAAGTTCCTTTAGCTATGTAAGGTAACAGATTCACAGGTTTGGCCTCCCAAAGTACTGGGATTACAGGCATGAGCCACCGCACCCAGCCTCAGTACTTTTAATTTTCTAAACTTGTGTGTATATATTTTTATTTTTAGAATTATCAAGAAGGTTCATTTGGCCGGTGAGGCTTAGGGCTATTTTGTTTTTGTTTTTGTTTTTTCATACTTTTCTTTATTTAAAAAGGAGAAAACGCAACTTTACAAATGTAATTGTTGTGAAAAGAATGAAAGAGAGGGCACAATTATTAACGTATATGTAGCTTAGTTAAAATGAGAAGTGTTACCACGGTCTCTATTTGATGAGCCATATCCACTGATTCAAGTTTATGATAAAGTGATATAATCATTCCGACCGATCTGTTTTTCTCAAGGATCTTAAATGAACAGGTAGGGATTAAAGTCTAAGGTCAATTGGAAAGCATTTTTGATTTTCATGAAATAAATATATTCCAATAGTATTTGAGTTTAAAAATATTTTTTGTCAACTTGTTATTATTAAGTATTTTGAAGGGGAGAAATCAGTGAGATTAAGATAAATAAAGTCAACATTCCTTGAACACCTACAAGATAGTCAGACAATGTTCTAAGAGCTTTATATTGATTATTTAATACCTACATTTCTTAGCAAATTTTTTACCACTGAAGAATCTAAGGCAAAGTTTCCAGTTAGTAACAGCAGAAACAGGGTTTAAATCCAGGTAATATAATAAGAAAAATTATCAGAAACATCAATGTTAGCAAATTTGTGTCCTGATATTTTCAGTGAAAGTTTTAATTAGCATACGACTTTATACTGAAAATTGTTTCAGATGCAAATTATTTATGATATAGTGAAAGAGAGAATAAAAATAAGGTAATACAGCCTACATATAAAAATTTAGAGTAAATTAACTTTGTGAAAATGGATTCAATGTAAAGATAAAATAAGCCTGCTTGATTTTTATCCTCTTAGGTTTCTATTTCCATACTCTCAAGTGCCCTCAAAAGTTTTGTATTAAAATATAAAGCACATATGTATATTGCTTGTAAAACCTTGAATGGTTTTCCTTAGAATATATCAAGTGAACTGGATCATAATTTGCATCTTCATTGCTTTAACCTTATGAAACTATATCACCTTTCTATGAAACTATCACCTTTCCAGTTTTCTTTTTTTGGATTTCCAAAACTTCCATGTATCATCTTTTTAAGACGTTTGAATTAGGCATGAACATGTATTTAGCATGTTTTATACCAAGACGAATGATTTAGAAATATGCTAGTTAACTGGTCTAAAAAGTAGCTTTATGAGCAGTATGAGTAATTCCTCCATGTGTGTTTGAAAACCCTTTTTAAAGTTATGTTTATTTTAAGCCGTCTTCAGAGATTGTTACATGTGTTATGTATGTTATATATGATATGTTATACATCATACGTTATATATGAGATGTTATATATCATACGTTATAATGTTATACATCATATGTTATGTATGATATGTTACACATTATACATTATATATGTTATACATCATATGTTATATATGATATGTTATACATCATATGTTATAAGGATATGTTATACACCATATGTTATGTATGATACACATCATATGTTATATATATGTTATACATCATACGTTTTATATATATGTTATACATCACACGTTATATGATATGTTATACATCATACATTATATATGTTACACATCATACGTTATATATGTTATACATCATACGTTATATATGAGGTGTTATATATCATACGTTATAATGTTATACATCATATGTATGATATGTTACACATCATACATTATATATGTTATACATCATATGTTATATATGATATGTTATACATCATGTTATAAGGATATGTTATACATCACACGTTATATGATATGTTATACATCATACATTATATGTTACACATCATACGTTATATATGTTATACATCATACGTTATATATGAGGTGTTATATATCATACGTTATAATGTTATACATCATATGTATGATATGTTACACATCATACATTATATATGTTATACATCATATGTTATATATGATATGTTATACATCATATGTTATAAGGATGTTATACATCATATGTTATGTCTGATACACATACGTTATATATATATGTTATACATCATACGTTTTATATATCTGTTATACATCACACGTTATATATGATATGTTATACATCATACATTATATATGTTACACATCATACGTTATATATATGTTATACATCATATGTTATATATGTTATACATCATATGTAATATGTGATGTTAGACACCATGTTATATGTGATAGTTATACGTATGTTATATATGATGTGTTAACATGTTATATATATGTTATACATCATATGTTATATATGATATGTTACACACCATACGTTAAATGTATATATGTTGCAGTTTACATTGTGCCCTTCACCTAAACATTCAGTAGAAACGTAATGCAGTTTTCCTTTCAGATATTTGCTGCACCGTCATTTGATGACAAGATTCTGGAAGTTGTGGCAATATTTGATAGCATGCAAATGGCAGTCTCAAGGGTCATTAAACTGCAGCATCATCGAATAGCCCAGGTTGGTTTCTCTCGTCAAACCTGACTGCACTTCCTGGGCAAAAGAGGGTTGGGGGAATCCGTTCTAAGTGTCTCCCATACTGGATATTCATCTATAGTATTCTGACTTCGTTGTCATGCCAGTTTTTTACCATGTCATTATAAGTGATAAAGCATCCTTCTCTATTCTGTGGAATAGACAAATACTCAAGCCTGAATATAGATGATCGTTTTCTCCGGATGATTTGTACTCTACGATAATCTGTTTGTTTTATTTCAGTGCCGTACAGTAAAGATCACTATATTTGGCGATGAAGGAGTCCCAGTGCAAGTGGATGGTGAAGCATGGGTTCAGCCTCCAGGGATTATTAAAATTGTGCACAAAAACAGAGCACAAATGCTAACAAGGGACAGAGTATGTAACAAAACCATTCTTGTAGAATACAGTCAAGGTTTTTTAAAATCTGAAATTGTTATAAAACATAGAAAACAAGGAAACATTTAAATTGTCTCTTCAATCTGACATTTAGGTCATTGTGGTTTGGAATATTTATTTATTCATTTTAGTAAGACTTTAGTTTTTAGAGCCATTTTAGGTTTACAAAAAATTGGGCAAAAATAGAATTTGAATTATGTTCCCATATACTTCCTCCTCCCTCTTCTTCCCTACACAGGTAAATTCCCACTAACATCTTGCATTAGTGTGGTGCATTTGTCACAGTTGTTGAGTCAATACTGATTGATTATTACTAACTAAGGTCCATAGTTTCCATTACTCTTTGATTTGTACATCTGTGGATATGGACATAGATCACTTGAATCCACCATTGCAGATTCATACCAAATAATTTCTCTGCGTGAAAAATTCCCTGTGGATAAACAGTGTCCCTGTTCATCCCTCCTTCTCCACCCTGACTTCTGGCCATCATTGATTTTTTTTTATTGTCTCCATTATTTTGCCTGTCGCAGAAGGTGTGTTTTTAATTAAGGTCGACCTTTACCAAACAAGACTGCCAATATTCACCCCATCCAGTTTATAAAATAGTAATGATTAAAGAATAAATTGAAGCAGTAGTAAAGATTGAAGCGTGAAATCAGTTTTTTGTTTTTGTTTGTTTTCTTTTTGAGACAAAGTCTTGTTCTGTTGCACATGTTGGAGTGCAGTGGTGTGAGCATAGCTCACTGCAACCTTAAACTCCTGGGCTCAAACAGTCCTCCCACCTCAGCCCAGCTAATTAAAAAAAAATTCTTTTTGTAGAGTTGAGGTCTCACTGTGTTGCCCAGGCTGGTCTCCAACCCCAGGCCTCAGGTGATCCTCCCGAATCTCTTTTTTAAGTTTCCATGAGCGTTGGCTGCGCCACTTTGTGTTGTGGTACATTGGAGAATTTTGAAATGTCTTTTTTATAATTGTGATTTATTTGAGGAGTCATGAGAGAAAAAGCAATTGTAGTTTTATTAAAGTACACATTTACATGGACCTCTGAGTTCCAAGCTAACAGTTCATTGCAATATTGATCTTAAATAGGCCTTTGAGAGCACTCTGAAATCTTGGGAAGATAAGCAGAAGTGTGATTCCGGTAAACCAGTTCTCCGAACCCACTTGTACATCCATCATGCCATTGACTTGGCAACAGAAGAGGTGTCGCAGATGCAGCTGTGCTCCCAGGCTGCAGAGGAGCTCATTACTAGGTACGGGGACGGACTCTGCTGGCTTTTCAGACTGTGGGAACTCTAGTCTCAGCCAGTTTTTGTTTTTTTAATCTTAATACATTGTTTCAGTAGTGGTATCAGAAGGAGATGCCATTACTCCTCTTCACATAGCACTCTTTTCATTATTGTTTATTCTCCGTTTCGTATACAGTCTTTACACTTATATACAGGCTTCTAATTACTAATTAAATGTCTATGGAATGTAGAGGGAAGTCTAAACATTAATACTGTTCCACAGGAGAGTCAGGAGCAAAAAGAATAAAAAGACTTCAGAAACCAGTTTCTGACAAGATATTAGAGAGATTTTGAGACCACATATAAATTAATTTCTATAGACAGAAAGGAGATTAAAAAAGAAGTCCTGTGAGTGTTAAACAAATAAAAATCACTATGACCAGGGAAAACTTCAGAGGGGAGGAGGGACCATGGACCGGTGTGTTCCCTCCTCTTCTCCTGAGTCTTACCCACCAAACGGGGCTACTAAGAGCTGTTTCACCAGGGTGTGTGAGGATTAAATGAGACTCTAGGAATGGGTGCTGTAAGTACATTGTATTAGTCCACTTTCATATGGCTACGAAGAACTACCCGAGACCAGGTAATTTATAAAGAAAAAGGGGTTTAAGCCTGGGCACAGTGGCTCATTTCTGTAATCCCAACACTTTGGAAGACTGAGGCAGGTGGATCACTTGAGGTCAGGAGTTTGAGACCAGCCTGGCCAACATGATGAAACCCCATCTCTACTAAAAATACAAAAATTAGCTGAGTATATTGGTGGGCACCCACAGTTCCAGCTCCTGGGAAGGCTGAGGCAGGAGAATCACTTGAACTTGAGTGGTGGAAGTTGCAGTGAGCCAAGATCACACCACTGTACTGCAGCCTTGATGACACAGACTCCATCTCCAAAAAAAGAAAAAAAAAAAAAGAGGTTTAATAGACTCACAGTTATACATGTCTAGGGAGGCCTCACAATCATGGCAGCAGGCAAAGGAGAAGCAAAGGCACATCTTACATGGCAGCAGGCAAGAGAGCATGTGCAAGGGAACTGCCCTTTATAAACCATCAGGTCTTGTGAGACTTACTATCTTGAGAACAACACAGAAAAATCTCACACCCGTGATTCAATTACCTCCCACCAGTCTCTCCCACAGCATGTGGGGATCATGGGAGCTACAATTCAAGATGAGATTTGGGTGGGGGGACAGCCAAAAGATATCACATATCACATCTGGCGTATTGAGTGCTCTGTTCACGGTAACTATTAGATTCTTCCCATACCTTCATCTGGTCCCCGATAAAAATGTTGAAAAAGTAAAGAAGCAAAGCAAAGCTCAGTGGTTTCAGGGGCTAACTCACATCTTTCCTCTACCCTACTATTTGCCATCTGCTCCCCACACCTTCCTTACTCTCCCTTTTAAATGTTTATTATGTAACTAGAATGTATGAGATGTTAGAGACATAAAAGACATACGCCCCCTACTGCTGGACCAATATTCAGAATTAGAATCAAGTCTTATAACCGCAAACCACTGGGCAGCTCAGAAGAAAGGAAAGAGAAAATGAGTATTTACTCAGCTCAACCCACACAGCTGCATTATTGTACATCTTTGCTTCTTATCCACAGGGATGTTAGTTTTAGGGTAAATACAGCTCTTTTAGATTCTATAGACAAGTTCTGTGGCCTCAAATTCACAGTGTTTTTTTTTTTAAAACCAAATAATGCTTTCCATGTTCTCATCCTGTGAACCAACCAAATAATCTTACCATAAAAAAGAAGTTGTCTAGGCTTGCTTCTGGTCAACATAGTTTGGCTCCCCATCTGTTTTTAAATTTTGCAGATGAAATCAGGCTCACTTGTCTATTTTCAGAGTTTATTCATTGACTATGCAAACATATGTAATTTTCAGGCCTCTTCTGTGGGCCAAGCACTGTTTTAGGCTGGGATACGAGATGATTATGTGGCAAACCTAATTAATTGGCTCACAGGTTAGTAGGAGGGAGAAATGTGGCCAAAGTGTTGACATGAGACACACAGTGGGCTCTCCAGATACACAAAGGCGGTCAGAGGCAGTCAAGGAGGGCTGCCTGGAAGAAGTGACCTTTCAACCAAGTCTGGAGGGAAGAGTAAGAAAAGAAGCAATTTAAGCATGGGAACCAGCCTAGGAAGAGGCCCAGAGGAGTATGAGTGCATGCTGCTTTCAGGCAATCTCAGAGTGTGGGGTGACTGAAAGGTTGGCCTGGTATATGCAAGAGTGTGGGGAATGTAGATGAAGAGGTGAAGAGGAACAGATCTTCATTGGGCTGTTCTAGAAGTAGTGTGGAGGGGTTTTTTTTGGAAGACGGCAAAGCTAGGGCAAGGTGAACACTGAGAACGCTGTAGGAATTGTCCTGATAAAAAAATGATAGACTAAAGCAGTAGAGACAGAAAGGACAAGCGAGATTAAAGACAGTTGAGGATTTAAAATTGGTAAATGGGCATGAATTAGGAGACAGGATGGCCTTCATGTTCTAGTGAATGGCTGGACGATTGTGGTGCCTTCGATGGGGCCTTAGGGTCAGGAAGAGCAGTAGGTATTAGAAGGAAAATGATAGGTTCCATGTGGGACTTGAGAATTTAAATTACATTAAAAATACGTACGAGATTCCACAGGCAGTTAGAAATGTTAATCTGAAGTTGATTTACCTCTTTCCCTTTCTTTGAAAGTTAGAATAGCCTTTATCCATCTCTGTTCTTCCGAAAAAGAGCTCATTCTTCATGATTTCTCGAGGTTGCTGAGAGTAGTGCAGAGGTAACATTTGCAGGTTTCTTTATACCTTAGATATCCATCGTATAATTCTTAAGAATTAAATTATTTTTCTTTACTCTTGGTTCAGCTGTATAGGGCTTCCGTCCCTTTTCTTGGTCTGTCCTTTCCAGATTGAAAGTCATTCTCCAGGAAGCTGTCATAAGCAAAAACAGTATTTGAATAGTCCTGCCTTCTTTTATTTATTTATTTATTTATTATTTAAAGGCCCTATTAATTAACTCATTAAACTGGTCATGACAAGACTCTTGTTTCTTTAGAGAGTCTTTTTCATCCTTGGAACATTCAGAATTAAATACAGTCATGATGGAATAAGCTAAGCTCTTAGTAAAAGCAATTTGTGGAATAAGGTTTATAACCATTGGGACAATATATATACTGCCTTCTTGTTCATCTGCAAGCCTTACATCATTTTCTAGCAATTGGAGGAGCTTTTCCTCCTTTCCTGTCTTTGTCTTTAGTGCCTTCCAGGATTTGGTCTTTCCAGGACTGTCCTTGGAGGTCTGGATACCGGTGGAGTATGGCACAGCAGGCTGTGGAGTTGGATAGGCATGGATTCCGATCCTGGCCCTACCACTGACTGGCTCTGTAAACACGCCCTGTCTGAGCCTCAACGTCATCTTCAGTAATGTGCAGAAAATAAGTCACAGCTACATTTAAAGGCTGTGAATATTAACTTACACACTGCTTACGATCACTTCGTGTATCGATAACAAATACGGTAATGCTCTTCCCCAAGCTGTTGCGTTTGCAGTTTCAGTGAATGAAGGAGAAGTTTCTAGTCTTCATATTTGGGATCCCTCCCACTTTCTAAGGATACTGCAGAATGAAGTATTACTATATTTCATTCTTCCGAATAGCCCTTCAGTATGCCTCTCTTTGGTTGTCAGCCTAACTTTTTATATAAAGATGTTTTATTTCATTGTTTTTGTTGCAGTGGGGTTTGGATTTGTAAATCTACCTATGCCATTCATAATTGATCAGCCGTTAAAAATGTTCTTCTATACTGATCTTCATATTTTTTTACTTGTTTTATCCTAATACTCCTAGACTTCAAACAAAATGAGCACTGGCCGGGCGCGGTGGCTCAAGCCTGTAATCCCAGCACTTTGGGAGGCCAAGGCTGGTGGATCACGAGGTCAAAAGATCGAGACCATCCTGGTCAACATGGGGAAACCCCGTCTCTACTAAAAAAAAAAAATACAAAAAATTAGCTGGGCATGGTGGCGCGTGCCTGTAATCCCAGCTACTCAGGAGGCTGAGGCAGGAGAATTGCCTGAACCCAGGAGGCGGAGGTTGTGGTGAGCCAAGATCGCGCCATTGCACTCCAGCCTGGGTAACAAGAGTGAAACTCCATCTCAAAAAATAAAATTTAAAAAAAAATGAGCACTACTCAAAAAAATTTTCTATTCATTTCTTTCATTTATGCTTTTAGGATTTGTGACGCAGCCACGATTCACTGTGTTTTGGAGCAGGAACTGGCCCATGCTGTGAATGCCTGCTCCCATGCCCTGAATAAAGCCAACCCAAGGTGCCCGGAGGTGAGGATCTAATGGTAAATTCTCTTTCCACAGATTCTTTTGGGTGTTATGCTTGTATTTTAATACTGTAAAATATGCCCTGCCCTGTGAAAGAAAGTTATGTCATCTATATGTGTCTCTACAAACTTATGGTAAATTTGTGGCCAACTTTTTGTTAATTTTCCTTTTCGTGACATTTTTTCCATTCCCCCTCTTAAATTCTCTCATTTTTTTATGTTTCACTTTCAGTCACTTCTTACCTTCCATCTTCCTTCACTTCTTTCTTTTTTTAACTTTTCTCATCCTTTCTTACTCCTTCTTTTATCTTACCTTCTGTCCTGTACCTTGTTAAAGGGCAAGCCTAGGTATCATCAGCATGCGTTTTGTTAGAGATGTTCATTCATTTTCGAAGTTGTGCCCTGAAATTATTCCTACTTCATTTTGTTTTGCTAAATTGGAAATTGATGCTTTTGTTAAAATTTTAATGTCGAAGTTAGAATGGATAGAATATAACTCTGGAAATGCAATAACATGGTGCAGTGCTATACTAGACAGAAAACTGATAGCATTCTTTTATTTTTTTGATTATTTGATTGAAGTTACTTAAATTAATATACAATTAAATGCTTGTTCTCAAGATTATGGTCTAAAAAGCAATATGGCTAGTGCTACTGAGAGTAAAAGTTTTCTTTGACTTAACTTTTTTGGGGAATATGTATATGCTGGTGCCAGTATATACATATTCGTCATGTAGGGGCTGTGATCCTGATTCTTTTGGTTTAGTAATATAATAATGAGATAGTCATGCTAACAAATGTATGAAATTTTGCAATTATAGAATTTTGGTAGATTTTTAAATGCTGTGAATTTAAGTTATAAGAATAAAATGTAAAGTATTTACTGGTAATGAAATCCTATTTTAATACAGATCACCTGTCTTTGATATTCTTCTTTCCTAGAGTCTTACGAGAGATACCGCCACTGAAATAGCCATCAATGTGAAGGCACTGTATAATGAAACAGAGTCTTTGCTAGTTGGCAGGGTTCCTCTGGTAAGGAAAAACATGATTGGTAACACAGGAATGATGGATTAAATGTCGGGATCTTATCTTCATTGGGGAACATACATCCAGCAGATTCTAAGGCAGAAGCCGCCTTCTGACTTCCATCCTGAGAGCTGCCTCTTCACCTGGCGTTTGTCTTCAAGAAAATACACGGCTGAAGTTGGGAGTCACGATTCAGGCTAACAGGAGTGGAGATTTCCCCTCATATATGCCATCCTGTTTTTGTGACTGCTCTGCCCCAGTCAGCTTTGAGAGACATGAACTTTATAAAGTGTAGTAGACATTCCTCAGGCACTTACTATTGCACACAAGTAGAGGAACTTACTGAGTTTCTTCCCTGAATTAACTTTTAATATGAATTGTATGGTCCTCCATGTTTACTTAAAAGAGGACACTCTCTAGACACAGTGTTTCGAAAACTAAATTTCAGGAACTCTGCCTAGTTTAATCCAGATTGGTCCTGGAAAATCAAGTTTAGGCCAAGTCTGAATCTGACCACAGCCCATGGACCTCAAGCATAAATGCTGGAAGCTATGTGTGTCCTGTTTGGTTAGCAGTGAGAGTTAGTCTTTCTTCATAAATACCTCACCATTTTCAAGTATTCTAGCATCTTGGCTCTTGCTGCCACCTAGAGTTTGATTGTGGCTTATTCCCACATGCTGTTACCACTGTGTGGAAGGCCTAATCCATTTGCTGTTTACTATTCTTTTTTACAATTCTGATTAGTTGGTAGTTGATGATCTTAAAACATTTCTTTAGACAGTAATTTTCTCTCTTGGTTGGGCAAATCTACACCTAAATAAAAATGATACTAAGAGCCATAGTATCTGGCACAGTAGGTGAATGAATGGGAGGTGTGTCCCACACACCTTGCTATTAAGTGCCTGAGCTTAGGGTTTCTGTTTTCACCTGTGGTCCAGAAAAGTGCCACCTTTGGGGCATGCTTTGCTCTGAGAAGAGAAGCTGAAAGGCTCCACGAAGGCCATCGCTCTTATCTACCTCCAAAGGAAACTGAAACACAGCTTCTTTGGGACAGGAGGTGGCTGGCTCTACTATGGCCATGAAGAAAAACTTTTACAAAGAAACACTGGTTATCTCATTTGATAAAACTAATGGAGCCCCTTCTTGGCTATTTTTGGCACTACTGTTTTTAACCAGAATCTTCTGCTGCTCTTCTACAATAAGTCCTATAGAAATTCCAGTGACCTGTGACTTGGGTCCCAATTTTTGTATTGAGAACATGTATTTTTATGTTATTTGAAGTACATTGAAGATCACCTCTTACAATTAAAACCATAACTTATTCTGTACTTCTTTTCTCTACATGAAAAGTACCTGCTGAGTACTACCTTGCTAATATTCATTATTTGTATTATGTTAATACGGTTCCTCTCATTGTTAAATATGAATTTTGGTTTAAAATATGTACCAATTAATTTTACCAGAACCTTTGGCAATAGTGATATCACAATAGGGGGTTGATTATATTTGAGAGCAACTGCTTTACTCTTTATTTTTAGCGCCAGAATGCATTTGTAATAACCATTTTATCAGTTTTATAAGACACATTCTTAGACTAAAAGGAAAGCAGTAAATTTTACACACAACAGCGCAGAGAATCTCTTTTTTTTGATATAGGGACATACTCTGTCAGTGTTGTGATCTCTGCTCACTGTAGCCTCAGCCTCCCTGGTTCCAGGTCGTTCTCCTGCCTCAGCTGCCAAGTATCTGGGCCTACAGGCACACACCACCACATCTGGCTATTTTTTTTTTTTCAATAGAGACCAGGTTTCACTGTATTGGCCAGGATGGTCCTGAACTCCTGACTTCAAGTGATCCACCCTTCTCAGCCTCCCAAAGCACTGGGATTACGGGCATGAGCCACCACGCCCAGCCCAGAATCTCCATGTTTTTAGTCACTACTTAGAAGTGGTAAATACTGTGAATAACAACAGGAAACAAAAAAAATAATGTTCATAATAACAGTAATATCATCTTGGAACTTTTAGTTCTAAAATTTTATAAACGTATTTGTAAGAACTCTATAATTTTAAAGTAATTATAAATGTATTGACTAGCTAGAAGAGACCTCAACAATAATGTAGTCAGCCGGGCTCCGTGGCTCACACCTGTAATTCCAGCACTTTGGGAAGTGAAGGCAGGTAGCTCATTGGAAGCTGGGAGTTAGAGACCACCCTGGCCAACATGGTGAAACCTAATCTCTACTAAAAATACAAAAATTAGCTGGGCATGGTGGCATGTGGCTGTAATCCCAGCTACTTTGGTGGCTGAGGTACGAGAATTGCTAGAACCTGGGAGGTCAGAGTTACAACGTGAGCTGAGATTACACCACTGCACTTCCAGCCTGGGCAACAGAGCAAGACTCTGTCTCAAGTCATCTTCCTCATCATCATCACCACCTTGAGTCACATTGTGCTATTTCCAGAGGAGGAAACAAAGACTTCTGAAATCAATTAACCTTCCCTTGGTTACATAGTTCATTACCAGGCGGGGAGTAGAGTCCAAATGACTGCCTACCAGTTCTGTGTGTAGGAGTGTTTATTTCATATTTATTCATTTATTGAACTTGTAAATGCATTTTGATAACTTCTTTCAATGAGTTAAAGCAGATAATAGGTGAGCAGTTAAATTCTCTTTAAGGCACCCAAACCCAGTTTCAGATGATAAGTCATTGAGCTTTTTGCTTTGCCCCAAGTTTTACAGTTTTTCATCACAGATTTTAAGAGTCCTGGTGCTTTTTTCCTTATTCTTTAAGTTTTCAAGGAGATTTTTCTGCAGTTCTTCTTATATGACAAGTTTTTTACTGGTTCAAAAGGTATTATTTGTTCATGTAGTGTGATGACCTTTTTTTTTTTTGAGTCAGAGTCTCTGGCTCTGTCACCCAGGCTGGAATGCAGTGGCTCTATCTCTGCTCACTGCAAACTCTGCTTTCCAAGCTCAAGGGATTCTCCTGCCTTAGCCTCCCAAGTAGCTGGGATTATAGGTGCCCAACACCATGCCTGGCTAATTTTTGTATTTTTAGTAGAGAGGGGGTTTCACTATGTTGGCCAGACTGGTTTCATACTCCTGACCTCAAATGATCCACCTACCTTGGCCTCCCAAAACGCTGGGAATATGCACGTGAGCCACTGCGCCTGGCCTGGTGACCTACTTAAATCAGAAGTATTTCTGGCACAAATAAATAGAATAGTGAGACTACACACTTACACAACCAGGAAGAATGGGTAGATAAATGCTTGGGAAGCATGAAGGAGGGGGACAGGAAAGAAGGCATTTACACAGAAAAAAAAAAACACCAAAAGAATGCTTTTCTATGAAGTTATTAAAGTTACAATAGCTACTCATATGATCTTTGGGAAGTAATGATTGGATTAAATCTGTCCTGATTTTTAAAAATGAAGTCAATATAAAATAATTTATTCTTCTCTTCATATTTCTTAATTTAAAAACACTAGCTTAATAGGAAGTGAGGCTGTCCACTGTCAAAGTACAATAATTTATTCTACTTGAGGCTGGCCAGTGAGTCTTCTTTCGTTTTGTCTTCTAATCTGGTAAACAGCAGCTGGAATCGCCACACGAAGAGCGCGTATCCAATGCCTTACACTCTGTGGAGGTGGAATTACAGAAACTGACAGAGATTCCGTGGCTTTATTACATCTTACACCCAAATGAGGATGAGGTATGTCAAATTCAGCCTGCTTCTATGGAAATATAGACCTTATCACTGTAGAATTTGAACTCATCTTTGAAAAAGAGGTATTTAGAGGAAAAGAATTTCGAATACTACTTTCAAATGTACTGTTCTTGAACAAGTAAGAAAATGTATTTATGTGAACAAAGGCATTTTTTGGGAATTGGGACATTTTCGGTAGTACGTCATGAACGCTCTTTGAAGAAGTTATCACTGTTCTGTCATGTTTAGTGTTTATAATTTATTCTTCCTGTGCTAGCTCTATTATCAGAGTAGGCCTTTCTCCTTTTCATATCCTGAAATAATTCTTTTCTTGTTCGATTTGAACAGGAACCTCCTATCGATTGCACCAAAAGAAACAACAGAAGCACAGTATTTCGAATAGTGCCAAAGTTTAAAAAGGAAAAGCTTCAGAAGCAGAAGACAAGTTCACAGCCTGGTAGGTGGTCCACATGGGAAGGGGAAGTGTGACGTCATGAAAAAGAACTGATGACAGTGATATCATGGAGGACAGGAAAGTGTTCTGGAGCTAGGTGGTGCTTCAGCTTTGTGCAACATGATGAACGTACTGTCATTGGATTCTACACTTTAAATGGTTCAGATGGGGAATTTCATGCTTTATGAATTTTACCATACAAGAATCCTCTCACACCTAATACACATCAGACTATCAGTGGGAATCTCTAGTGAGGAAGCATACACAGAAAATGAAGTGGTTCCTAATTTGCTTCCAGGTTTAGTGGATGGCAGCATTTCCATTCAGATGGTTCCTTCTCAACAGCAATTCGAAGCATCACTGTATAATTCGTTTTTCCTCTTTTAAGTACAATTTTTAGATTACTTTGATAAATGGAATATAGAAACTTTCATTTACTCATTTAATTTGCCAGTTATATATATATATTTTCTCCTGTTTTAAGGACACTGTTTCAAACCCTTGACAATGACAATGTGCTGTGATACTTGCATTCACAAGCAAAGATTAAGCCCCCTCTTGCTATTTCTCTCGTTCCTTTTTCACCTTTCCTGAGAGTTTAAATGTACAGGTGTGCTAGTACTAAAGCACCTTCCAGTTCTGTCTATACAATGGTAGCTGCCTTTCATAACCAAGTCATTTTATAAACTCTTCTGAGTGCACTCTTAAAAAGTGATGTAAACCTTATTTGTGATATTTATAAAGCAGTTACTGAAAACCATTTAAAAAACAAATATAGCAAATAAGTAGGCTTTTATTAAGCTAATCAATGTTGAATAAAATGGATAAGCAAATGACACACACTAAAAAATAATGTAATCCGACTAATCTCAGAGAGCAGTGCTATGGAATTTTTAAACAACATTAAATTGTGATTAATAGCACATTGGTTGCTGTTATTATCAATAGTAGTATAATCAATCAAGACGATATTTGAAGTCAGCAAGACTTTAAGCAGAAAGGTTTGTGTAAAATTGAATACCCCTATGAGATTTTAAATTGTAATTAGCCTTTGTAGATCTTCTCAGTCTATAGCTGTTTTCATACAGGGTCTGAAGGAAATCAGAGCTTATATAGAGCTTGTGCCATTGATCCTAATGATGTGAAATGCGTTTTGTATGCAGATTGGGTAGGTTGGGTGGCATTAATGAAGAAATTGGACGAAAGCTAAGCATGGGTGCACGGCAGCATTTTGTATAGCCGGATCCTTGTGTAGAGTGTGTAACCTGCATGGGAAAACGTGGAACCACAGTTTTGTTGAAAAACCACCTTTAACCTTTCTTTTGCTAGTGCTGCCGCTGTCCTCTGTTTTGCACCTTCTTTGGCCAACTTTGCTTTGTAATGCATTGAGCATGTAGAAATTAAGGGGGTTTTGCTCTTAACTTTGGTAGTTCAGAAATGGGGCACAGAGGAAGTTGCTGCTTGGCTGGATCTGCTCAATTTGGGAGAGTACAAAGATATCTTCATCCGTCATGACATCAGAGGGGCTGAACTTTTGCATCTGGAAAGACGAGATCTTAAGGTATTTCCTTTGTGCTCTTCTGCTCTTGAAAATGTTACTGCAAAATGGAATCTTTTCTCCTGTGCTTCTTCCAATATGTGCTTTTCGCTTTGCTTATGTTATGCAAATGTGTAGTAATCTAACATTCACTGTCCTGTGGTCTGAGTTCCTTCTATGCTTTTTAACAAGAATGTCAGCAGTATTTTCCTTTTGGAATCACTCTGTTATAGCTAAAGCTTAGCATGAACTCAGTAATTTTTCTCTGCATCCGCTGATATGACTATTCCTGTGCTAATATTTCCAAATGGATCATGTTTCTATCCACTGCTTTTATTGGATCAGCATGGAAGGTGATAATTTTGCTGAAAATGACTAAACAAACTAATATATGGTTGACTAAAAATTCATTCAAAATACCAATAACAAAGCCTTTCTAATATATGGAATGAGATGAGAGACTTAGAGCAACAGCTAATTAGAGTCTTACAATTTTGTGGTGTTTCTAAATCAGTCTTTCTTGGGTCACATGAGCAACTAGACTGAAAAATTTGAATTTCCTTTCTGTGACATATTGTTAAAATTCGATTATTCTCGAAAAGAAATTTTTTTCTTTAGTAAATGACATAAAACTTTTGTCTAGCTTTTGCTAGAAAACAGCTCAGAGCCTACTTGTTACTTATGATGATAGAGAAAACCCATTCATTTACCATCTGTAGCATTTCCCTTTTATTCTTTGGGTGAAGGTCTCAGGAGTAGAAACAACTAAACTAGGCTCTCTGGCCAAGGTTTAGGAATGGGATTTTGTCATGTATTTTCTTACCACATACTGCCACTTTAAATTTCTAACAAGTAGTAACATTTGTTGGAGTGATCCCTTTCCTGAGTTCTAAAATCCCTAACAAATTAATGAACTGTTGCACCTTCATCTACAAATATGTTAGCAAAGATCTTTGAATAGATAATAAGTAGTATAAAGATCTTTTTTCACAAAGAGTTTTGGCACGTCAAAAGGTGAGCACCACTTATACCCAAACAACGTTAGCCGTAATAAAAATAAAATAATTAATTAGATACGTTAGCTAGTTGAGAGTCCTAGATCTGGAACATAGCAAAATACGTAGTAGTAGATTCAGGAAGCAAAAGAAATGAGTCCACAAAAAAAGTAAATGTAGGGGGGATCATGATACCCAACATGTTTGTGTAACTTCTGATATCCTTGGCAGATGGCAATATTTATTAATGATGGATTAATATATTATGCTACCTTCTCTGCATGATACCTGCCCTCTAGAAGCATGCATCGCATTTGCTGTGAATAAGCATACATTCAAGGAAAAGACTGTGTGTATGTATAAAAATATACATAAATGTGTATATGCATGTTATAAATATACATACAAACATATAGATACATACAGGTACACATGCGATGAAAGCAGAATGAATGTGTAGAGTGGAAAAATATACACTAAGGCAAAGTTAGGTCAGAATAGGAGGGCCGGGCGCGGTGGCTCACGCCTGTAATCCCAGCACTTTGGGAGGCCGAGGCGGGTGGATCATGAGGTCAAGAGATCGAGACCATTCTGGTCAACATGGTGAAACCCCGTCTCTACTGAAAATACAAAAATTAGCTGGGCACCGTGGTGCGTGCCTGTAATCCCAGCTACTCAGGAGGCTGAGGCAGGAGAATTGCCTGAACCCAGGAGGCGGAGGTTGTGGTGAGCCGAGATCGCGCCATTGCACTCCAGCCTGGGTAACAAGAGCAAAACTCCGTCTCAAAAAAGAATAGGAAGGAGATGGTTAAGAATTATGTTAGAAAACATTCTCTTCGCTTTTCATAGGACTTTTTTGTTCTGTTTTTTTATTTTTAATGCAAATTATATTCTCTTAAAACTTTTCTTTTAGAAATTTGTATTGACATGGATTTGAAAACTCTATTGGGTCTGAAACAAGGTGTAAGTGGGGGACGAGAAAAGGGACATTTCACAGAAAGAGCCTTCTGTAGCACAAAACCGTAAAGCTAGAGAAGAGCTCCCCTTGTTCTTGGCTGTGGTAGCCATCCATAGCGGCAAGCCCTTCAGACCGAAGCCTCTACATGCTGCTGAGGGATCACTCAGCCCTTAGGTACCCCGCTGCTTCCAGTACTACTCACGAATATGTCAGTGAGGCAGAGATTAGCTCAAGTGTTACTCCCATATCACCAAAACAACTAGACATAGCAACGTGACCGTCTAAAATATATATATAAATACATATTTTTTAAAGAAAAAAATTTTCTTTAAATTTTTATATATTTATATATTTTGTATATAAAATTTTATATATTTTGTATATATAAATCTATATTATCAATATATATATAAATCTATCTATATATATACATATCTTTTTTTTGAGATAGACTCTCACTCTGTTAGACAGGATGGGGTGCAGTAATTCAGTCATAGCTCACTGCAGCCTCAGCCTCCTGAGCTCAGGTGATCCTCCCACATCAACCTTCTGAGTACCTAGGACTACAGGTGCATGCCACCACACCCAGCTAATTTTTTTTTTTTTGTAGTAGAGACAGGGTCTCACTGTGTTGTCCAGCCTGGTCTCAAACTCCTGGCCTCAAGCAGTTGGCCTGCCTTGATCTCCCAAAATGCTGGGATTACTAGTGTGAGCCACCACACCCAGCCAGGAAAGTATTTTCAATGTGCTTTAGCAGATAAGGAAGCAAACTGATTGCATAATTCTCTTTGCTAGAACACAGTAGGATTCAAGAAAATGGTAAACATATGGTGAGGGTTTTCTGTTTATTTTTTGTTTTTTCTAATTGGAAAGTTGTATATGTATGGCTGGAAGGATAACTGAATATCTAGAAAGCATGCTTTGTCAAATTTGGACTGTTTATCCAAGGAAAGAAAGCTACTCATAAAGAATATAAGAATTAATATATAATGATATTTGATAAAAATAAAGATATAACAAAGGTCACAGCATAACTTTATTGCAACGTATACCCTAGAAGACATAAAAATATTGAACTCAAACTAAAACCTCAGAAACAATTGTAACAAAAGCCAAAATTGACAAATGATATCTAATTAAACTGAAGAGCTTCTGCACAGCAAAAGAAACTATCATCAGAGTGAACAGACAGCCTAAAGAATGGGAGAAAATTTTTGCAATATATCCATCTGAACAAAGGTATAATATCCAGAATCTACAGGGAACTTAAATTTATAAGAAAAAAACAAACAACTCCCATTAAAAAGTGAGCAAAGGACATGAACAGACAGGTCTCAGAAGAATACATGCAGCCAACAAATATATGAAAAAAAGCCCAACATCACTGGTCATTACAGAAATGCAAATCAAAACCACAATGAGATACCATCTCACGCCAGTCAGAATGGCAATTATTAAAAAGTCAAGCAACAACAGATACTGGTGAGGCTGTGGAGAAATAGGAACGCTTTTACACTAATATAAATTAGTTCAGTCATTGTAGAAGACAGTGTGGTGATTCCTCCAAGACCTAGAACCAGAAATACCATTTGACTCAGTAATCCCATTACTGGGTATATGCCCACAGGAATGTAAATCATTCTATTATAAAAATACTTGCACATGTATGTTCATTGCAGCACTATTCACAATAACAAAGACATGAAATCAACCCAAATGCCCATCAGTAGTAGACTGGATAAAGAAAATGCGGTATATATATATATACACCATGGAATACTATACAGCCATAAAAAGGAACTAGATCATGTCCTTTGCAGGGACATGGATGGAGCGGGAAGCCATTATCCTCAGCACACTAAGGCAGGAACAGAAAAACACCCCATGTTCTTATAAGTGGGGGCTAAACAATGAGAACACGTAGACCCAAGGAGGGGAACAACACACACCAGGGCCTTTTGTGGGGACAGAAGGAGGGAGAGCATCAGGAAATTTAGCTAATGCATATGGGGCTTCCTACCTAGGTGATGGGCTGCTAGGTGCAGCAAACCACCATGGCACATTTTTACCTATGTAATAAACATGTACATCCTGCACATGTATTCCAGAACTTATGAAATGAAATTAATTTTTTTTAAAAAACTATAGCTAAGAGGTTAATGTAACTCTATGGAAAATATTCTTCTCATTTTATACCAAAATAGTGACTCTAAATACATTCTACCTCCTCCAAAGAAGATTTTCTCTTGATAATACAATGTATATATGGCCTAAAATAAAATATTTAATATATAAATATATTTTGAATTGGATATCTGTGTTCTCACAGAGTGCGAAGATGTTTAAATATTCCACTCAGAATCTAAATGTGGCTGTAAATGCATGTGCATCTCACATTTAGGTAGCAAGCGTTGGTGTATTCCTCTAGGGTTTGGCCTTGCTTTTAAGCTGGACACTTGGGCACATCTTCAGGAAATGTAGAGTTGTCTCAGGACTAATTTCGGATGCCCTGTGTCATAGGAGAAAATATTTTTCTAGGTCAGTTAAATATTTATGAAATATCTTAAAATTATCTCAAGCTTGACAATAGCATTGGCTAGGGAAAGAGTATTTTCCAGAAGGATTCTTTACTGCTAAAGAACTCCAGATGCTCTTAAAGGGTAAGGCGGAGAGAGAGAGAGAGAGAGTGACAAAAGAGTTAAACCAGTTTGATCTATTTCTTTTAAAAGTTGAAAAATAAATAAATAAATTACAAACAGGGTGGCTATTTGGAGTCTTTGTCTTCTCAGACAAGTTATTTTATTTTATAACCTTGTTTTTTAGGCTGTTTTGGAAGTCACCTTTTTAATAATTTTCAAATATTTCATTTTTTTTAAGAAGTTTGACTTCACGTATCAGCACACTGACTATGCCCTTTCACTTAAAGAAACTAGGATTTGGAGTCCTTAACTCCTTGTTTTGCTTTTTCAGAGTGCATAACTAGTGGTTGTTCACCCTTGAGTAGGTTTAATTCATTCCTGCAACAAATATTTGCAAAGCACCTGCTGTGCACACTCTGCAGTCATCATCTACTTCTGAAAGTTAAATATTGAATCCTTGGCGCTTATAGGAAGAAGTTTATTTAAGAAACAAGAATAATAGTTTTGAGAGAAAAGAGCCAATAGTGTTTTGAGGGAAAGCATCAACAGATAATTATGTTTAAGTAATTTTTTACACACATATGTTACAAAGTATAAAGACTATTTTAATATTCCTCTCAAGTCAAAGACTTGTAATGCAACTGCAAATGCATTTACAGTCCAAATTTATGTAGCAAGTACTGGTATCTTTCTCTAGAATTAGGTCTCCCTTTTAAATTTAATATTTTAGCACAAGAAATGTTGCCTTAGGAATAATTGTGGGTGCCCTGATGTCCTGCATCCTTTTATTCCCAGAGACTCCAAAAGACCCTTTCAAAGAGAAAGAGAGAGAGAAACGAAAGTAAAAAGAAGGGAGGGAGGGAAAGAAAGAAAGAGAGAGAGCGAGAAAAGGAAGGAAGGAAGGGAAGGAGAGAGAAGAAAGGAGGGAAGGAGAGATCAGAGACTAAATTGGTTTTGACTCTTGAAGGACTGCCACTGTGTGTAATTTATGAGAATATCATAGTTTCAGTTTTATGTAGAATGTGATTTTTTTTGTACCAGTTGGCAGTTCTTTAGTGTCAGGTTATTTTTGTTTTATGAACTTATCTTTCTAGCTTTCACTTCCTGAATCACTGAATATAAACTAAAATGAATGAACTGAATGCTAATTGTGTTTCTTGCTGGTTAACTGTTTAATCCCCAGTTTTCTATTATCAATGAACTGTTTTCTTTCATTTTAAAATTTTCTTTCTGCCTTTTTTTCCTTTCATTTTTAATTCTTTCTACCTTTTTCTGTTCTTTTTTTTTTTTTTTTTTTAGGACCTGGGGATACCGAAAGTGGGCCATGTGAAGCGAATTCTCCAGGGAATTAAAGAGCTCGAAAGGAGCGCTCCACAGTCAGAGGTGTGACCATATTGGTGCTATTCCTTGGAAGAGAAGTAATTGCCACTTAATACAAAGTCCTTGGAAGCAAGTGGCTGTTCTTGTAGTTTTCTGCATAGATAAGTAAGCACCACTGAAGCACCTCTGTGGCTTGATATTTTGCTGTGGGTGAAATTTTGATTTGAGGTATTAGAAAATATTTTTGTGCCAAAAAATACATTCCACAAAGCCATTTTCTTCTTGTGCAAACCTGACATGTTCAAACATATTCAGCATAGTAATAAGGTGGGAGGAGTCTGAGGTGATTGCATCGTCTAAAAGTGTGGAACTGCAGAGTTTACTTTCCTCAGAGCTGGTCTGACGGGACGTTCTGACTGCGCCACTGCATAACAAGATGTGCTTGAAACTTCATTATTGGAGGCATTGGCCATTTTCTTAAAATCATAGGTTAGGAGACTAAAATATAAATTAAGTTGTGTTTTGAATGTAGGTTGGCATCACCTCCAACTCCTAGTGCTTAGTGGTCAAAGAACATGTTGAAAACCGGTCAGGTATGAATGAATGCATTCTTCATGCACAACGCTCCTGCCAGAAATGTCTTTCTGTTTCTTGCATGTCACATCTAATATTGTGACACCTTAATGGCTTTAATGTCAGTTTTAATAGGATTTAATTTATTACTAAAGTCCATTTTTGTTGGCTAAGGGCACTGCACTTTTTCTGTTTTTTAATGTGGAATTTTGTGTAAATATTCTGTACCTAAGACTTTGTGAACATGTGTCTGTGCCATCATCAACAAATGATATACATCTTATGCAGATCAATTTTATTTCAATCTGTCATAAGCAGTAGGCGTGCACATTAAGAAAATTCTCTGGGTATTTTCATAAAATTACATGCTCCCTTACCTGACAAAACTTGTTACAGCTTTCCAAACCAAAATTTCCACAGTTTGTTTCTAATTTTCAATTTCAATTTAATAATTATTTAATAATCTCTTTGAATATAATACACTATTGATATCCAGAAATTCCCTGAGGTCCCAACTGAGATTTATATACTGATGGATAACCCAGACTTACCCACTCTCTACAATGTCTTCTGACACGAACTTCCCAACAGAAGGGATTTAAAGTTTTTTCTAGTTGCTATTATTATTATCTCGGTTAATTCTGAATTCCTGTCAGGTGGATATTATTTTCCTTTTTCTAAAACACTCTACTTCAGTGCGGCTTATTAGAAGTCAACATTACAATGATCAAATCTTTGAAAACCAAAGGCATACGTATCAAAAGTCACAAAAATATCCTTAAATAAGTTTTCTTTAGCCATTATATACCAAAATATTAATTATAATATTTGAAAATACTATATGTAAGAGAAACAGGGTACTGACTCAGTGGTGGCAATTTTCATAAAGTAGCCTGCTAGGTGCTTAGCAGAGATATACACACACAGATACATACATACACATATACATTTATATGTATATATACACCTACATATATATAATCTTGAGATATAGCATCATTGATATTTTCTAGACAGTTCTTTCCCCAGTGTTTAAAAAAGAAATACTAATAGAGCATTTAAAATGAAATATTGTCAGGCATATTATTTAATTATATGAAAGGAGTTTACTTGACACTTTTGTTTATAACTTGGGTATTTAACTACTAATAAAAATCACAAAATCTGGATGTCTTTAAAATAAATCACCCTGAAGGGTTCCTGAGCAAGTATATCTGACTATATATTTTACCTAAGTTGCAAATAAATGGAAATTTTCCAAAGACAGCTACATCAAGTAGTTTAAAAAGAGTCATGAGGCCGGGCGTGGTGGCTCACGCCTGTAATCCCAGCACTTTGGGAGGCTGAGGTCAGGAGTTTGAGACCAGCCTAACCAATATAGTGAAACCTCATCTCTACCAAAAATACGAAAATTAGCCAGGTGTGGTGGTGGGCATCTGTAATCCCAGCTACTCAGGAGGCTGAGGCAGGAAAATTGCTTGAACCCAGGAGGTGGAGGCTGAGATCACACCACTGCACTCCAGCCTGGGTGACAGTGCAAGACTCCATCTAAAAAAAAAAAATGGTCATGAATGAATTATTCTGTCTACACTTATGAAGTCAGAGGTCTCCTTTTTCAGTCCCTCTGATAGTCTCACCTAAGTGCCATCCTGCTCCTGTAAACACTTTCCTATGAAACCAAATAGGAGCTGCCAGGTTCCCGGAACTCTTCTGACATTGCAGATCTCTGGCCATCTGTACCAAAAAAAGAGAAAGAAACGTGAGGGAAGGAAAGGGAAGAACTCTAGTATAAAGAATGTATTAATATAAATATCTATATTGATTTTCACCCCCCATGCCCCTTTGCTAATAGAAAAGATCCTAGCTATGGCGTGTCCCTAATTTAAGAGTGTGATGTGAAGGACTGAATTCTGTTTGTTTGGTGATCTTTTTCCCTCTTCGGTAACATCTTTTGTACATGGTTTGAAGTCTCAGGTAATGGAATCCTACGGTGCATTTCTGGCTAGCTCAGTCGGTAGAGCCTGAGTCGCTTAATGGAATCCTTAATTAGCTAGAATTTTCCTGCAAATGGCTTTAGATGAGGGAAATTCTATAAAATGACAATTTGGATATGCTTTTTGTTCAATGAGAGCAGTTTTCTCTGTATGCTTTGTCTGTGCATGGCTGTGCAGGGCACAGATGACTTCACCGAAATCTGTTTCCAGGAGGGGGTCTTCCAAGCCTCCTTAGGCCCCTGTCAGTATCATAAAGAATTCATCTTCTTATATCAGATGGGGTTACCCTCCCCCCCCCCGAATAAAGTAGGGAAGACCTTCTCCATGGAATCAGGTCACAGCTTTGGGGAGCGGGATGGGGCCTCTGTGCTTCGATCCATGCATGAGCTGAGGTGAGAAACTCCCACCTACACCTGACTGCAGTGATTGGAATGGCTGGAATTGTCACCTCTTCTCCTTGATAGGCTCTCCCGTGCCTGGAGGATGCGGGCTGGGGGAAGGGCAGGGAAAGGAAGGGAGTCAGCCAGCATTTCTTGTGGGAAAACTTGCTTTTAAATGAGGAAAGGGACAGAATCAGACCTAAATAAAATTCCTGAGTATTCAATATTTCTCTTCAGTGTCTCTCCGCCTCCCTTTCTGAGTTTCTTTCCTACATTCTGGCTCTTCCATTTTCCCAGTGCCCAATACAGTCATGGTTGCTGAAATTCTCCCTGCCTCTGCTTTCCTTTCCCCATCAGTTGCCCCACTATAAGATGACCCCTTTCATCTCTCCTTTCCTGAAGCATACATGGTGGGTCATTTAAGTGTTAGGAAGAAAACTAATTTAAAGAAACTGATTTTACAGTTAGCATTCTATGAAAGGATACTTGCTAGGTAATCTAAATGAATCGATGGATTAGATAATTTGAGACTGTGACATATATTGCTTTGCTGACAAGAGATAAGCCATGAATGTCTAGATCTGTGCTGTCCGATAGTCTGGCTACATGCAGCTATGTAAATTTAAATGTAATTTAATGAAGCCAGGCACAGTGACTCAAGCCTGTAGTCTCAGTGACTCAGGAGGCTGAGGTGGGAGGATGGCTTGAGGCCAGGAGTTTGAGACCAGCCTGAGCAACACAGTGAGACCCTTTCTCTGAAAAAAATTTTAAACTAGCTGAGCATGGTGGCATGAGCCTGTAGTCCCAGCTACTCTGGAGGCTGAGGTGGGAGGATTGCTCAAGCCCAGGAGTTCAATGCTGCAGTGAGCCATTATCACGCTAGTTCCCTCCAGCCTGGGTAGCAGAGCAAGACTCTTACTCTTCAAAAAAATTAATTTAATTAGAAATTTTATTTTTCAGTTGCACTAACTACATTTCAAGTGTTCGGTAACCATAGTGGACAGTACAAATGTAGAAAATTTCCATCACTGCAAAAATTCTATTGGACAGCACTGGTGTAGATCATTGGTACTCAAAATGGGATCCATGGGCCAGCAGTATCAATGCTATGTGGGAGCTTACAGAAATGCAGAGTTTCAGGTCCACTTCAGACCTAATGAATCAAAATCTTTCTTTAGCAAAATTTCTCAAATGATTAGCACTGACCTCCATCCATTTTATCCTTCCTTAGATATTAGGGACGTGATGTCTGAGGTCATTAAAAGGTGCCCGGAATAGCTGGTTTCTTAATCCACTGTTTCCTGTTCATTCTCCAGCTAATCTCAGCAATGAGCTGAAACTCATTCATCACCCTCGCTGAGTTTTCTTCTCAATCCTTCTTCCTAATTCTGGTTCTAGAAGAGCCCTATCGATCCAGTGCTTGTGTTTTGGTAGCCAATGTGGGACACAGGAGACTGGCAGACCGACACAGCTGGCCTCTCGCTAGCCCTCCCCCCATCTCTAAATCACTAACAGTCCTTGTTTGCTCAGTTTGTTGATGTGCAGCATGTTCATTTGTTCACAACGTAATCACTGAACATTTCGGAAAAATATGTACTAAGTTAAAACCATGTTAGTCTCCGACAACTTGCACATTTTCCTCTTCTCTTATCAGTAGATTGTCCTGCTGACACAGTTTGTGCTCGAGGACCCGTAGCAGCACACACACATTAAATGAATTGTTAGGCATGCGAAAAAAGAAAAAGGATTGAACCAAAATGATTGCAAAGGAAGTAAATGCCATTTAAGCCCTCTAAGAAGGCATGCTGTGCTACATTTACATCTGTTTTTCTTGCGCTCACTTATCTTGATTTTCACATGGTTAATAATTCCCTAAAATAGTGCCTGAAAAATAATGTGTCACGTTCTTGACCCCAAAGGACAATTCATTTAATTCTAGAATAAGATCTTTGCCAATGAGACGTATTGTCGGGAATCCTTCACTTAATAACTTTTACACATTAATATAATGCACCAAAACACAATTGCCTAGAGATGCTTTAGCTAATTTTTATTAATAAAGAGGACAGTAGTTTTGTCTTCATGGAACCTATTTTCAACAGGAATCAAGGAAGAAAATATTCATGCAAAGCTATGACTTAGAAAGTGATAGGGGCTACCTCTATACAGCACTTCTAAAGTAACAGCTTGTCTCCAACTGGGCTGACAACATAGTGGGCTTTCACGATCTATGGATATGAATTCTTTAAGGATATAGCCCTAATTAAGGTATAAAAACAATGCATCTCTCGACCTTGATGTTTAGGATCTCTCCTGTCTGCCCCCATTCCGCCCCACTCCGCCCCACTCCAATGAACTCATCCTACATCTTTCTAAAACACCAGCTTCTTTAGATCAGCTGAAATGAAGAGTGAGAAGTGAAAATTCCTCTACTAGTAATTGTTAGCCAATAGAATAGCCTCCCAAGCAGTCCCCGCAGCACTTGGTTGCCTTGGGTCTCTCTCGTCTCACTGCCCGCCCCGGCGCTTGTCTCTTCCATGGCATCCTGACTGACTTTTGTATAGCAATCTCTGTGTCAAGTCAGGAATATGATGCCTTCCTAAAGCAGTAACCGCAACGTGATGATTATTGGTTTTTATAATACACAAAGCATTAATTTTTTTTCTTATCCTATTTTCTCTTTATTATTTTTTTTCCAAGTTTTGTTTAGAGACATTTATGTTAGAAGAAAAACTATAAAATTTTACCTTTGTGGAGAACAGAGAGATCAAAGACAGCTGGACTGTACCTATTTGTATAATTATTTCTGATATTTTTAAAGAAAAGAAGTTTAACAGAGTAACCCAGACTGAGACTGTTAAACTCTGTTTATGATAAACTCTGTATTACATGATAGTGAACAGATTAATTCCCTTCATGCAACTAAGATATTGTATTTACATTATTTATATACTGTCTTAGTTTTTTATGCACTTCCAAGTTTTAGTTGGAAAAATGAAAACCAAGCTACTACTTAAAAGTTATTAAAAACTTCACATAAAAGATTCCATTTTAGCTACAAGTTATTCATTGCATAGGATTTTATAAATAGTCTGGGTATTTCACAGGAACTGCATTTCAAAGGAAAATTAACCAAACATTAAAAAATGGGGGTTACTTTTTAAATACATTAAAATAAAGAAGTTTCTTTCTCAGTGGATAATGCCATTAAGGTAGGATAATGCAGTTATATACACAAGCTGAAAAGCAAAAGAATATATTTTGTGGTCCTTAATGTTTGACTGTGGCATTGTTTCCCACAGCTTAGCCATATCTATTTCTATTTACCAAGTATGAAGAGGATATGTAGTGAAGATTTCTTACAGTTCTGGTAACTGGTAACTAGTGCTGTGAAAGGTTTTGGTATTGCAACATTCCCAGTTTTGTGAGTTATATATTGTATATTGAAAATGACTAGTAAATTCAAGTAATATATTTATCTAGAGCTGGGAAAATACAATAATTATTTACAAATCTTCAAGTAAGTTGTATCGAATGTTTTTCTTCCTCTGAAGTGAGAGAAGTCTCACTTTTGTGTTAAAATGTCTATTTATGCAACAGGTTTCTCCTTTTGCTGGTGTTATTAATTTTCATATTAAAATTTTTCTTATCTTTTTATATTAAAATAATTATGCTGGCTATTTAGACTGCCAAGATGTATTTTAGTTTGCAGGATTTTTGGCAGACAAAATATTTAATAACAAATATAAAAGCATTGTATATTTTGTGACATTAGGGACAAGAATTTTACCTTTGAATTTCTCTATGTGAGGCAGTCCTGGTTTCAGCAAAGTCAGTAACAGACAGTATTACTTGTAATCATCAAAAGAAGGTTTCCACAAGTTGTATAAATCAGTGCATTTATTTATTATGTTGTGAAATTTAATGTTTATACAAAATACATATTCTAGCTCTTTTTTACTGCTGTTGCTTCGAGTGTATAGTTCTGTTGATGATTTACTTATGTACTTGAAGTACTCATTTCTGTCAAACAGATGCCCAATTATTTTCCTTTAAAAAAACTGTATTCTTTACCATCATAGATAGCTGAATAGTAATAGATACTTTGTTAAAAAAATAAGTTTCATGTGTAAAATAAACATTTTTTAAAAATATAAAGCCAAAATGAAATCACCAATATAAAGGATTTAATGTAGCCAAGGGATTCAGAGTGTTCAATTTTGCAAACATATATTTTATCTTCGTGTCACAACTTCTTTTCTGTAGTTAATTCTCAGTTTTAGCTGAAGACAGAGCTCAGTGATTGTACTGCCAATAGGACACTCAAATGAACATTAGGAGTTTTGAACACTGGTCAGGCATGTGGCTCAGGCCTGTAATCCCAGCACTTTGGGAAGCCAAGGTGGGTGGATCACCTGAGATCAGGAGTTCAAGACCAGCCGGGCTAACATAATGAAACCTCGATTCCACTAAAAAAATTAAAATTAGCAGGGCATGGTGGCGGATGCCTGTAATCCGAGCTACTTGGGAGGATGAGGCAGGAGAATCACTTGAAGCCGGGAGGCGGAGGTTGCAGTGAGCCAAAATCTCACCACTGCACTGCAGCCTGGGTGACAGAACAAGACTCCGTCTTGGGGAAAAAAAGAATCTTGAACCCCCCCCCAAAATATCACATATCTAGCAATTCTTGGTTCCAGGTGGATATTTTTAACACGTTTGCCTTTGGCTCTAGGATAGTAACCATTATGGATGATGGTTTGTTTGTTTCTGTTAAGTCAGTGAGATTTTAATTGTTTGAATTATTTCTATTTAAAATTATTCTCAATATAACTGTTTTAACTTCAACTTTTAACAGTTTTCTTCTATTTTAACTTTAACTTTTAACCATTTTCTTCTATTTTACAGCGTTAGCAGTTGATCTGTGCTATTTAAGAACTCATAGGAGACAATTAATTTACTATAATTTCAAAGGCATAGAGTTTTATATTTTACTGCTGCACAAGCAGTTATTGGAGGTGGGAAAAAGGAAAACTGGTATGAGAAATTACATGGAAATTACAAGAAAAAGGAAGTTGAGTTGGTAATTTGGCCAAGATTTGGGAACAAATAGTTTGAACATAGGTATCTCTCATCTTATACGATAGAAACACAAAGCACACGTGAGCTGTATAGTACGCTGAACACCACCGCGAAACAAAAAATGGCGCATTGATGAAGTCCGAGACTATCTAGATCTTAGCAACTAGTGAATTCGGGGAGCCCAGACTACTGTGGAAAGTTAGAAGTCAGTAAGAATGCAGTTCAGATGACCTAATCGTTCAAGACACTTGATGGGTTCCACACTAGGGTTTATGGTATGGGGCAGACATCTGTGCTTTCTCACCTCAGTGACTGATGTCTGAAGAAGTAGTCAGATGCTTACTGGTTCTTACAGAAGAACATCAGTAAACGGGGATCAGACCGTACCCCGCAGACCAAGGAGGTTTCCTTAAATTTGCTAAACCTTGAAAGGTATTAGCAATGATAATTGCTAAATGGATTTTTTTCCTTTCACTGAAACAAAACAAGTATTAAAATTCACAATACCTAGAGATGGGAGTATGGTTTAGGTTTATCGAGTTCTGTAACTGACTTTGGCATTGCCTCATTGTGTCCTTTCTACAAGTTATGATGACTTGGTGTCCCCAGTTAGAAATGGCACACGATACTATCAGATGTTGGTACTTGGTAATGTTTCTTTTACAAAAGGAACTGCGTAAGTATTAATCATAACTCGTTTGACGGTTTCTTTCCCACTGTCATTTTAGATGTAAAGAAAGTCTTCCTAGACTATAGCATGGAAATGAGAACTTCAGATTGATATTCCTGATGTTCAATTTAAAAATGAAAGTGAAGTTAAAATTAATAGTTTCTGTCCCAGAGTAGATTATGGGTATTTTCATGTTACACTTCAGGTTCATATTATTCATTTTAGGATATGCCAAAAACTCACTTCTAAAATCTTCAAAAATTTTGAAGTTTTATTTTTTTCTACACTTAAGCCAAACAACAATTTTATAGATGTGAATATATATATTTATATTTAAGTCCTTCACATCGTTTCTTAGTTTAACTCCCCGAAGAGGAAAATGTCTCTTTAAACCAGTAGTTAAAAAGATGGAGTATGTGATGTTCCTTTCTCTGTACTGAGTGAATGTTTGCTCTAGAGCATGGATCACTGACTGCGCTCTCTGACTGTGGAATGGTATTCTCTCATGCAAAGTACTTTCACAACTTCCCATAAAAAAACTAAACTATAGATCCTCTTAATTAATGGAAATCTGGGTACAATTACGGGAATTAAATTAGAAACTAGAATAACCTAGTTAAAATCATATTAGTTATACTTGAGGGTAAGTGATGACTTGATTTTTACATGACATTTGAATTCTGTCACTATCTGATTCTTGACCTAAAGATTTCTTTGCTAAATCTGATATTTATTATAATATATATAATAATTTGGAGCTCCTATTGCATCTCACCACCCAAAAAATGTTCGAATGCCATATGATATAGGAAAAAGACTGCAGTTCATCACCGTGGAATTTTGATTTGTCTTAATGACACAACTGAATTTTTATGATGATAGATCTCTAAATGATTAATCCAGAAGGACTTGGTGCAGTGACTGGAAGAAATTGTTTTTCTGGGAATTTGCTTCCCATAGTGACCTGACATACAGGTGACCTTAGTGTAATTGAAATTAATTATAATTTTAATTAGAACATGCTCTGTTTATAGATTTTAATTGTGCAGCAGTTTTTTAAAATATACATAATTATGAGGATGAGAGAATTGCAAACTTGAACAGGTCTTTTGTTTTCTCTCCTTTTACTTGAAAAGCTTTCAGAGAGCTTTTGAGAGATGACACCGTTTTCATAGTAACACTATGCAAATTAGGCTCTTCTGCCAAGAAACTCATGAACCAAAACACAGAGTAACACAAATGCTTAATCTGAATCTTGCCTTTGGATTTTGCAAGCAAAAGTATTTCCTGTATCAATTTTTTTTCAGTATTTATGGAGTGGCATATTTCATTTTTTTTTATTATACCAAAGTTGAATTCTCATTTTATGCTGTATTTTTCATTAGTTGCAGTAAAGTGTTAATTTCTTTCTTTCTTTCTTTTTTTTTTTTTTTGAGATGGAGTTTCGCTCTCCTTACCCAGGCTGGAGTGCAATGGTGCGATCTCGGCTCACCGCAACCTCCGCCTCCTGGGTTCAGGCAATTCTCCTGCCTCAGCCTCTTGAGTAGCTGGGATTACAGGCACACGCCACCATGCCCAGCTAATTTTTTGTATTTTTGGTAGAGACAGGGTTTCACCATGTTGACCAGGATGGTCTCGATCTCTTGACCTCGTGATCCAAAGGCCTCGGCCTCCCACAGTGCTGGGATTACAGGCGTGAGTCACCGCCGCCGGCCTAAAGTGTTAATTTCATTGTTGCCTTTCAGGCCTTCATCATAGAAACCCTCACCATGTTTCACTCCTGTGCTTTTGCCATAGTTTTTTTTTTTTTTTTCAGCCACTGGTTTTTCTACTTTTACTCTTTCCCACCAGAGTGGTCTTTCTAAAACATATTTGCTAAAAGTTCTTAAGCAGGCTCTCTTTTCCGTAAATTACAGCATAGCAACCTAACTCCTAAGCAAGATGAATTAGTCTCCATGACCTTGCCTCTTTCTTCCTTTTTAGTATCCTCACCCACCATCCCTTCATCGACTTTTGTAATCCGGGAATTTGGAACTATGTATAATTTAGTGTCGTGGCATAATGACATGCCATAGATGAACATATTCAAGACTCAGTTCAAATTTAACGTTCTGTGAAGCCCTACCTGACTTCCCTAGGCAGATATTTCCTCCATGCCTATAGTATATTGAAACTTTTTCTGTTAACATAACATTTCAGTTACACATACACATGCACATACAAACACACGCAGGTGCAGGAACACACACACACGCACACAGACACACACACACGCCTGTCTCTCCCACTGAATTTCTCTCGTTTTGTATTCTCAGTGTCTAGCTACACATAATAGAACTTAGATAAATATTTTCAGATGAAGGTAATATAAAACCCAAACTTCTCTGGATTTGTATGCTTTCACAAACAAAGGCTTAGGAATTCTCTGGAAGTCCACGAGGTCAGTGTGCATTCATGAGCATGCGTGCACTCTGGGCAAAGCAACAGAAGATAAACAGCAAGGAAGAGCAGTTGTTTTGTGAAAAATAACCATTTGTTAGCTGTACATCAGAAATATCGACCAAATCTGAATTCTTTTTCACATAACTGCCAGACTTTGATTTGTAATTCATAAAGATGCCCTAAAGATCATCTTTCTCTTTTATAGACATTTAGTGTATGGCGTCCACATAAATACATACACTGATTACCTACAGACAATAATGAGACTTCAGAAAGAATCAAAAGCAGTAGTGAAGGTGGAATTTTTAAATAATATTCAGCTGGGGGAATAGACTGAGTTGATGTGACTTCAGGTTATTTAGAGTTATTATGTTAATGTAAATGTAAGAAGGCTTATTTGTGACTATTATCAACCTCTGTAGAATATAAAGACTAAAAACTATTACCTATGGGCCTGTTTTTCTTTGTGATTCAATAAAGCCTTTTCTACCATGTCACCAAATACTCACAAAGGCTAACACCGAATGCTCTTCCAAGTTAATAATATCTAAAATTAAATATTAGGGCCCCACATGGTGGCTCACACCTGTAATCCTAGTACTTTGAAAGGCTAAGGTGGGTAGATCACCTGAGGTCAGGAGTTCTAGACCAGTCAACATGGTGAAACCTCATCTCTTCTAAAAATACAAAATCTAGCCAGGCATGGTGATGCACACCTGTAGTCCCAGCTACTCCGGAGGCTGAGGCAGGAGAATTGCCTGAACCCAGGAGGCGGAGGTTGCAGTGAGTCTAGATTGCACCACTGCACTCCTGCCTGGGCAACAGTGTGAGACTCTGTCTCCAAAAAAAAAAATTTTTTTGTAAAAATATTTGTAATTAACTGAAATGCCCTGTTCCTTTATTCACTTTTGATAGACTTTTTAACCTGCTCTATACTTGGCACTCAATTAGCTTCTGGGGATACAAATAAAATAGCTCCTGTGTTGTAAAGTCCAAGTTTGTTTTCACAGTTATTTTTCTACAGTCCGTTTAAGGTATTAGGAGAACTTTCACAAACCAAGTGTTTTTCAGGTTATTTCAGAGAGGAATCTCCCTCCACCCAAAAAAACTAACCAAATCATTTTATCATAAAGAGGTAATCCCATTTTTATGTCCACAATTTTTATATTTTTGTGTCAGCCACCAATAATTTTGACTGTTTTGTCAAGTATGTATTTCATCGATCCTATTTCCACAACCTTTATAAAAATGATCCCACTGACTGATAGATCTGTAGAATGTGAACTCACATTTAATGTTTATTTTAGAAAGGCATATCCTATATCCCATATCCCTATTGATGACACATATACCAAAATATATAAGAGCTATGCCTGGTAAACCCACAGGAAAAGGAAAAAGTAACGCTTTCTGGTATACTTCAGAGGCTCCACTTGAAGATGTATGTGGGTTGATGTTTCCTTGATTAGTTTGAATGAGGAGTAGGGGGTAATAATATTTAACAGGTAGCATACGTAGCTAAGCATATAGTAAATACTAGTGCCATGAGGCACTAATCTATAGAGGAAACAAAATTATTTTTAGTTATAAAAGAATCTCTAAGTATTTATGGATGGTTAGGCAATAGGGTTTCTTCATGAGAAGGAAAAAAACTGTATCTGTATTGTTAGTAAGTATGGAAAAACCCCAACTTGTATGTATATTCACACTTTGAAAGGCATATTTTGAAGTCATTGTTTCCCATCAATATTAAGTATCATCCATTTCTATGTTCTATAGCAAAAGAAAATTCTTAGTGTGATACAGCTTTACTCTTTGCTCGACTTTGTGCAAGGTCCACAAAAGGAGGAGTCTCAAAAGATTGGACACTTTTCCCTCAACACATTCATTTTATCTTTCGATAAAGATAACTTGAAATCATTGGCCTCCAGTTTATCATCGTGTTGAAAACACAACAGTACTGTTCCTTTCATCCCTTACATTGGAAAAGGTATTTTAAATTTAGCTTTGCCATAGTATTTACAGTTAGGGATTTACTACATTTTGGTAGTCTGTTTTGAAACTAAGCACTTGTGTCTGAAAGATGCAGATAATATCTATCTATTTATTACACAGTGGGCTCTGTTTGCTGCAGAAAGGAGTGAAACTTTTAATGGCTTAGCACACTTGCCAGTGAAATATACCTGACAGAGCAGAGGTTATAACCTTGGCTCTAATTACTTTTAATAATGGTAAGACGACGTGAGTTTTGTTTGTTTACATGCTGTTTACAATGGCATAATTTTAAATATATATACAGTTGAGATATTTATTGCATAGCATTTTAAAGATGTTTTATGTGTTTTCACCTTCGGAATATATTGTTACATTTCCTTGTACAGATAATGTGGGTGGCTTTGTTAATGTAGCTAGGAATTTTTATGACTACTAAGTGACCAGTTTTGGTGCCTTTGATTGTGGGATGCATGATTATGTATTTATTGTACGGAAGTCACTGATGTGTGTATTTTTGTACTCTACTGAAAGTGATGGCTGATCCTGATGTAATGATGATGAAAGACATCTTTCCCAAAGGGCACTGCCTTGAGATCGCCCTTCTCAAATAAAAAGAATGCGTTTGGGAAGAAAGTGTGAAGTCTATGTTGTTTCTGCTGGGAAATCTTTTTTTAATATTAAACTTATGATTTTGAGATAATTGTAGATTCACATGCAGTTGTAAAAAATAATACAGGGAGGGCATATGTACCCTTTACCTATTTTCCCTCCAAAGGTAACATCTTGCAGACCTGTAGTACAGTATCACAGCCAGGACATCGAGATGCAGAAGGTCATGATGCTGAACAGTTCTATCACAAGGAGCCAGATTACAGATCGCTGCTTCTCTTTTACAGGTGCACCTACTTCCCTCTTGCTCGCACACACTTCTTAAACCCAGGCAACCACAAATCTGTCTCCACTCTATACTTTTATCATTTCATGAATATTACATTAATGGAATCATACAGTATGTTATTTTTTTTTCACTCCAGAAGAATTCCCTGGAGATTGATGTAAATTGTGTGCATGGATAGTTCTTTGCATCTGGTGGAGGAATGCTTGATCGTAAGAACATAACTTGGTTTACGTTTATAATAATGATTCCTTAAAGTTTACACTCCCCCAAAAAACACTCATTAAAAGCTCAGTGTGTGACAAGTGTTGTCTCTAGTGGTAATGATCTGTGAACAGCCCTTTAAAATCACTGTCTGGTGAGGGAGAAAGAGTATTGTAACACAGAATTTTATGTGCAGTGATTAAAAACAAAATGCCACCAAGTATGGAGGAGGACAAGGAAAGGGTGGAGGTAGAGAACATTCAGGGGCACCTTCCTGGATAGGGGACATTAAGTCGAATCTTAACCAGGTGAAGTACGTGTGTGAGAAAGGCAGAGAGGACAGTGCAAGCAAAGACAGGCAAGCAGCATGGAGGATAAAACATGCTTTGCTCAAACAAAGGGAGAGACAGAAGATGGAACTAGAGTAGGCGAGGGCAGATCTGAGCCCCGGTCAAATCAGTAACCTTTTGATGGGATTTACATGAAGAGAGCAGAGGACAGTAAGATTACTTAGAGGTTATGAAAGAATTCTGGGTACGAAATAGCAGGGGACTTCTTTAGTACAGTTTTTGTTGAAATGGAAAGGAGGGCACAGATCTCAGAAATGCTTAGGTACAAATGGCCTGCACTTGAGATCGACTGTGGATGGATCAGGAGGTGAGAAGAAACATGACGAATCCCAGGTTTCTAGTAAGAGGGAAGCATGAAATTCAAGTTCAAACTCCGCCATCATGGTTTCAGGGCAACTGTAGGGTGTCTATGGGAGACGTCATGTTGCAGAGCAGTACAGGAGAGAAATACAGATCTGGGTGTCATTGTCATATGGGCTGAAGCCTTTAGAGAAGATGAAGTTATCCAGAAAGACCCTTAGGAACTTAGAAAAGGAGCCCCACAGAACTGGGATTCAGACCTCTGAGAAGGGGGCTCCGTCTTGATGGTGGTTCCAGGAGTGCCAGAGGAAAAAGCCAGAGAATGAAGCAGGCTGCCTCTGCCAGGGTGAGAACCAGTGCCCCTGGGACACTGGCAGCAACAGTGAGAAAAACAGGAAGAGCAAGTCCTCTTTCCTTCTGCAGGAAACCAGCTGGCAGAGTAGCTGTGCTGACTGCAGAGCCCAGCGCCAGCACCGAGCAGAGTGTCGGGTGTATCTGGCACTGAGAAACGGTCCAGTAGGTGGCCACCAAGTCTAACAAGGCACTCTTAAGAACAGCATACATGATCTTACCACTGTCAGAGGATAGTGGGGCAAGAAGCTGCCCCACTAGGAATGCTTGAGGGACTGGAGGACTCTTAGCTTGGAAAAGAGAACATCCAGGGGCAGGGAGTGGGGGTAGAGGTGGGAAACAAGCTTGGGACAGAAGAACTGCCTTCAAATATTTGAGGGACTGTCATGGAGAAGTGGGCTTGCATTAGTTCTAAATGAGATGAGCAAGTGAAATTCACAGCAAAAACTGATATCTAAGGATGCATTGTATTGTCTCATAAAATTAGATCTTTGATAAAGAGGTTCAAACAGAGGCTGCCAACATTTGACAGTTGGTACCCTTGAGAATGTGAACTCCATGGGGAAAGGAATTTTTTCATGACTGTATCCCAGTGCGTGGAATAGTGTTTAGCATGTGGCATGTGCATAGTATCTATTTGTTGAATAAATCAGAAATAATTTAAGCAACAGATCAGAGGACCAGATCACCCTGAGGTCTCTTTCAACCATAGATTCAATGCAGTTAATCATATATAAAGGCAGAGTATGCAGAGTCCTACCCAAATTAGGAAATAAATGAATGACAATTTAAACTCCAAAAACGTTGGTTATCCAGCATCCCTTTAAAAGCAGGTCACTACTAACCAATGCTTTTTTTTTTTTTTGAGATGGAGTCTCACTCTGTCTCCCAGGCTAGAATGCAGTGGCGCATTCTCAGCTCACTGCAACCTCTGCCTCCTGGGTTCAAGCACTTCTCCTGCCTCAGCCTCCCGAGTAGCTGGGAATGTAGGCGTGTGCCACCACACTTGGCTAATTTTTTTTTAGTAGAGATGGGGTTTCACCATATTGGCCACACTGGTCTCGAATTCCTGACTTCGTGATCTGCCTGCCTCAGCCTCCCAAAATGCTGGGATTACAGTTGTGAGCCATCTACATCATGACCCTGAGGCACTGCCTGATTCTGAAGGGCTAGCTGACTCATCATATTAAATTACTTTTTAAATTGCAAATTGTATTATATTTTATCTTAATTCTTTACAAAGTAGCAGTGTGTTTTCATAGCCATAACTCTTGGCAGCTAATGGGTTCTAGCAAATTAGAATTTTCACCAGGCAATCTAAAACAATAGATTTTTCTGATATCATCAAGATATCAGAATTTCAGATTCTTGGAAATCAAGAATCATCCAAGCAATCCAAGGATCTGAACCCCATCTTTCCTGTCCTACTATGGCTCTGCTGTTTGTCTCCATTAGTTCTTGTGCCGCCACCACCAGGACATTGATAAAACGTGACAGTCGATGGTGTGGTTGGCAACATAATGGGGCTTGTCTCAAAGCAAGCCTGGGATGGTGGTACCAGTCATAAGAATGAGAGACTATGGAGCCAGGCACGGTGGCTCACACCTGTAATCCCCACAGTTTGGGAGGCCAAGGCAGGAGAATCGCTTGAGCCCAGGAGCAGTTCGAGACCAGCCTGGGCAACATAGCGAGGCCTCATCTCTATTAAAATAAAAGAGAGAGAGAATACAGACAAAAATACAGTGTCATAGCAGTGTATAACACTTCTTAGTTTGAGACATTATAGCTACATTTAATCTTCAAACCACCCCCGTGAGTTTGGTATTAGCCCCGTTGGAAACATCCTCACCCTTGGAGTGGGTTCTACTCTGGCAGTGACATTTTGGATGAATGTGGGCATTGGAGCACGACCCTCTCTTAGAGGAGTGATACTAACTCATCAAGTAAAAGGCAGCCCAAGAACCACAGCGAGTCAGGTAAAACATGCTCTCCGCATAGTTCCTCTCCCACGCAGGCCTCCCTCGCACGGTAATGCATGCTGTACAGCACCCCACAACTGGGAGGAAGGCCACAAATGAAAGCTATCTGAGATCTTCTCATTTGGTTTCAAGGTTTTTTTGACTGCTCCCATAGTGAGAAATACATTTTCCCCAATATACATAAATATATACACACACATACACTCATGTGCCTCATAACAGTGTTAACAGGGGACCGTATATATGACTGCAAAGATGACAGCGGTCCTACAAGATTGGAAGGCAGCTGAAAACTTCCTATCGCCTAGTTATGTCATAGCCATCACAGCACTGTAGTACAACACACTACCCTCATGTTTGTGGTGGATAAATAAACCTACTCTGCTACTAGTCATATAAAAGTACCACATAACACATACAATTGTGTACGATACACAATACTTAATAACGATGGTAAATGACCATGTTACTGATTGGTTTATATATTTCCTACACTATGCATACTTTTAAAAAATTATTGAGACAGCCTTGCTCAGTTGTCCAGGCTGGACTACAATGGACGGATCTTGATTCACTGCAACCTCCGCCTCCTGGGTTCAAGCAATCCTCCTGCCTCAGCCTCCTGAGTAGCTGGGACTATAGGCGTGTGCCACCATACCCTGCTAAATTTTGTATTTTTAGTAGAGATGGGGTTTCACCATCTTTGTCAGGCTGGTCTCGAACTCCTGACCTCAAGCAATTTGCCCATCTTGGCTTCCCAAAGTGCTAGGATTGCAGGTACGAACCACTGCGCCTGGCCCCCTTTTCTGCTTTTTCTTTCTGAAAGAAAAAAATATTAACTGTAAAACGGCCTCAGGCAGGTCCTTCAGGAGGCGCTGTTGTCAAAGCAGATGACAGCTCTGTGCATGCTTTTGCCCCTGAAGACCTTCTGGTGGGACAAAATGTGGAAGTGGAAGACAGTGATACTGATGATCTTGAAACTGTGTAGGCCTAGGTTAGTGTGTGTGTTTGTGGGTTTTTTTTTTTTGGAGACAGAGTCTTGCTTTGTCACCCAGGCTGAAGTGTAGTGACATAATCTCGGTTCACTGCAAACTCCGACTCCCAGATTCAAGTGATTCTTGTGCCTCAGCCTCCTGAATAGCTAGGATTACAGGCACCCACCACCACATCCATCTACTTTTTTTATTTTAGTAGAAACAGGGTTTCATCATGTTGGCCAGGCTGGTCTCAAACTCCTGACCTCAGGTGATCTACCTGCCTCGGCCTCCCAAAGTGCTGGGATTACAGGTGTGAGCCACTGTGCCCAGCCTGTAGTTTAGTTTTTAACAAAAAAGTTTAAAAAGTTAAAAGAAAACAACTTTAATAGATAAATGCTTATGGATTATGAACGTAAAGAAAAAAAGCTTTCTGTAAAACTATAATGTTTTAATCTAAGTGTTAGGGCAAAAGAATAAAAAATTTAATAAAGTTTACAAAGTCAAAATGTTTCAGTAAGCTAATATTATAGAAGAAAAACATTTTAATAACATTAGTGTAGCTTGTGTAC